GAGAGAGAGAGAGAGAGAGAGAGAGAGAGAGAGAGAGAGAGAGAGAGAAAGCGCGAGCGAGCATGGGAACTGAGGAGGGAGCAAAGGGAAAAGGATTTCCAAGTGCCTGAAAGGTGGTATTCTTAACTTTTTCTGTCCTTTTAAGTTTTAAGTTTGGGATTCATGGCCAAAAATCCAGGTTGCTGCTGCAACCCTAGCTTATTTTTAGGTCTGTTTACAGAACTAGAGATGTATTGGATTTCTATAAATCTGTTCTCAATATCTAAGGAAATAGAGATAAGGGGGGAAAAAAGGGGGTGAGAGGCAGTTAAAATGGGATAGAAGAGCTCTCCACCTGGGAGCCGACACCTTGCTGCTTTAGTGCACTGGCATCAGACACTGGCTACAAAATTCCAGAGTACTACCTGGACCATGAAGATGTAATTGGGAAATGTTTAACAAAATAAATAAAAGTACAGTACTACGTAGATAATTTTAATTTGTGTTTTCCTAAGTCAGTATGCCACCTTCTGTTTGAGTTTAACCCCACTTTTAGTGAATTAGTTATTCCATCATTGTGAGTACTTCCTCTATTGGTTCAGATTTTAACTCTTTTTTGGTAGCTATGTTGGCGCAGTGGATAAAAAGTGCCGCAATTCAAATCCAACTCCAGACACTTTCTAGTGACTTGGGCAAATCACTCAACCTCTGCTTGCCTCAGTTTTCCAGTTTGCAAAATAGGAATAATTATCTCCCCCCCCCCATTGTTGTGAGGATAAGATGAGATGTTTGTAAAACACTTTGCAAACCTTGAAGTACTATATAAATGCCGCTCTTATTAATATTATTCTTTTTCTGTGAGAAGCACTGTGGCAAAGTGGAAAAGACTGAAGTATTTGGAGTCAGAGGACCTGTGTTCAAATACTAGCCATACCTGTGACATTGGGCAAATGTCTCTTGGACTCATTTCCTGATCTGTGAAAAGTTAAGGTTGAACTCAATAACCTCATAGACCCCTCCTGTACCTTTTAGAATACTTCTAGGGGAGTAGAATGTCACAAGATTGGAAGAGAAAAATGCCAGAGCTTTCTGTTTTGTGCTGGAGGTAACATGGAACCACTGGAGATTATTGAGTGGAAAGAGGGAGGGGGTGTGTGACTTGGGAAGACCTGGGCTTTAGAAAATCAGTTGGATAGTTTAGGAGATGGATTAG